CTCTTTTGAACATTGGAAAAACTTTAGCGATTTGCAAAAATGTGCCAAGTTTTTAAAATTGGGGATTGCACTTATTTTATATTACTTGTTGACAGATTTTTTAGCTTAAACAAACCAAATAAGCTGTAGTGTGATGTGGTCCTATATTTAATAAGAAAGGAGTGTGATCTTAGGAGAGCACCATGTTTTTTTTGGTCAGTGATGAACATTGCCATTTAATAACAACAGTGGGAGACATATTGTTGCCTATGTTCAGTGTACTGGACTCTGGGTCCAGAGGTCTGGGTTCAAGACCTGCCTGAGTCAATGTGTTTTGTTCTTGGGCAGGACACTCTACTCTCCCCATGCCTCTCTCCACCCAGGAGTATAAATGGGTACTGGTGAATTGTTAGGGAAGCCTGATGAAATGCTGGTGGGTGGAGGGGGGAGCCTTGTGATGGACTGGCATCCCATCCAGGGGGGAGTTATAATTATCCTAGTTGCTTTTTGCTAAGGAAACAGGGACAAGCTCCTGCTAGGGGGGCCACTAGGCTCAAGTACAGACTTTTTTTGCTACCAATGACAGTACCTCTGATCTCACAGGGTACTTCAAAAATTTTCTGAAATTTTGTGGGATGTTAGAGGCAAACCTTGTGGGGAAAAACATGGAAACTTGTTTTCATCATGGCCATGGTAATTTATTAATTTCTCTTCTCAGAAGAGTAAATAAAAAACCAAAAATGCTTGGAATTACAGTATTGCTTGTGTATATGTTAACTGTGCAGACAAATTTCATATGCTCAGACGCATATATGCAATTTTTCTGTGTGCACGGTTAAAAAAAATGTGCAACTCTTGTGCCTTTGTTATTAAGTGCTATAAGTATTGCAAAACTGGTAAATATCTGATTGACATGTATATATGGCTCAGAGCCAGAATGGACACCTTCTTGTTATTTTGACAAATGAAAGCTGTTTTATTAGTGTGATCTAGCTCTCAGGAGAAGTTTTTGTGTGGGATTTCCCACACTTTGTCAACGCCCGCGAAATTTATTTCTTTATTTATTTGTCCACGAGAGAGAAGTGCTTGTCACGTGGTTTCTATTTGCGTTCAGTGAGCCGTGAAGACTGGATTCCAGTCGGCGTTTTTTTATAGTGTATTGTACAGCGGCCATTTCTCTTCTCAGTCATTGGGTTTTGGAGAACTTATTCGGAATTTCATGTTTGTTTCTTGGGGATTTTTGTTTCCAAGGTAAGGATAAGTCATTTCATATTTTCACGGGTTGTTTGCGTGCTTTAACTTTTCAATTTTGTTGTGGGAGCTTCACGATTAAGCTCTCACGAAAGGTGATTACGTTTGTACACCTGGTTAATGTGTTCTTTCTTTCATAATCTGAGGCGTTTGTTTCGTTATTTCTTCAGGTGTCTATAACAAAAGATTTTTTCACGTAAGTCAACACGCTGAAACGCGGCTTGTGTTTGGTGCAGGTTGCACAGGAGCTTTTACGCTTTCACAAGCCAACATTTATCGGCTTGGACCTTCGGTGCGGGTTGTGTCAGATTGAAAGGAGTCATTGTACTCTCGCAAGCCAACATTTGTCGGCTTGAATGTATTTGTGCGGGTTGCGCTTCAAAGAGTCTCAGGGTGTCTCAAAGTGTCTCACGAGTGTCTCAAAATGTCTCACGAGTGTCTCAAAGTGTCACAAACTGAAAGAAACTATTGTTTGCCTTGAACTGTCAAGAGTGTTATCTATTTTAATAAACTGAGTTTCTAGTTAGTTGGATTGTTGTTGTTGCTCGCTCAAGCACACAAGTAAATATGGGGATCTCCATTGACCAATTCCGTTCAAGGATTGGATCTCATGAAGATTTACATCCTGATTTTAGTGAAAACTATGACCTCTTTGATGATCTCAACATTTCATCAACATCACTGAATAATGAACCACTGATATTGAATGAATTACCTGATTTTGATTTTTGTCAAATGGTCCAGACACCCGATAAAGAGCAAAAAGAATTTTTTTAACACATTTTACATCAGATTAAAACCTCAGAAACCCCTTTCTACTGCTTCCTCAGTGGAGGGGCTGGTGTTGGCAAATCGCATTTAACAAAATCTTTGTATCAGGCAGTGCTTAAGTATTATAACACTAGAGCTGGTGATGATTTTTATCAGATTATAGTTATACTTCTATTAGCTCCAACTGGTAAAGCTTAAGGGTGACACTCTTCATAGCACTCTGGCCATTCCTGCCAATCAATCACTGAGAAATTACAAACAGCTTGATTCAAGTAGACTAAACACTTTGAGAAGTCAATTGATTTTTGTTGATGAAATCTCAGTGGTAGGAAATGGTATGTTTGCAATACAGCTAAACAATAGGCTTAAAGATATAAAAGGCTGTAGAGAGGATTTTGGAGGTGTGAGCATAATTGCTATTGGTGACTTATTCCAATTAGAATCTGTTATGGATGCTTATATTTTCAAAGACCTCAAAAATGTAGATTTATGCTGTTCTTTCTCCCAGTTTATGGCATAAACACTTTAAAATGTTTGAACTTAATGAAATCATGGGTCAAAGAGACAGCAAATTGTTTGTAGAATTACTTAATAGGTTGCGTAAAGGTAAACACACAGTAGCTGACATTGCAAAACTTAAAGAGAGCTATACAAGAAGACATCAACAACCCAATAGATGCAGCTCACCTATTTATACAGAATGCTAAAGTAGATGAATTTAAACAAAGGGCCCATAATGCAGCCACAGGAAACAAATTCACAATAAATGCTCAAGATAGTGTTATTGGAGCTATCTCTCCAGAGCTAAGAAACAAAATACTAAGACAAATACCCAATGATCCAAGAAAAACAAAACAGTTAGCCTCAACCCTTTGTCTTGCTGAGGGTGAAAGAACACACCTTGTCATGAATGTACGAACCGAAGATGGCATGACAAATGGTGCTGGAAATGTTGTTAAACTAGTTCAGTTACATCAACAAACCAAACCATCTGGTATTGTATGGGTACAATTTGACCACTCAGATGAAGGTCAGTAAACAAGGAATGAAAAAAGACATTTGTATGTACAATGAATTGAACACACATGGACCCCAGTAAACCCTGTGACTACACAGTTTGCTGTAGGTAGAAACAGAACAGCACAAGTTGTTAGAAAACAATTTCCACTGCGTCCCGCAGCAGCAAAAGCAATTCACAGGTCACAAGGTGATACTGACAGTAGAATTGTTGTGGATTTTAGTACCAGAAATACTATTCCACACATACATTATATGGGACTCAGTAGAGTGACTGCTATAGAAGGCCTATATATTTCTGATTTGTGTGAAAGCAAGATTGCTGTTAATCCAGATGGAGAGATTAAGAACAACTGCAAAACTTAAGCTTTGCATCTCCCTCTCCATGACATAACATTTTCCCTTCTTAAACTGTGTTATCTTAATGTAAGGTCTCTTCACAAACACATAGAAGGTATACGTAAAGACTTAATTTATCTAAGTGCTGATATCAATATTTTCACAGAAACAAGATTTAATTCTCAAGATAATAATGACATGTATGACATTGCTGGTTATGTTCTTTTCCATAATGATAACCTTAATTCCAGCAATGGATCAAGGTCTTATGGTGGTACAGCTGTGTACAGTAAAATCCCATACTTACCTGGATACCCCTATTGTCACAATATACATGGTGTTGAAATAACAGTAATTAAGTTAGCATTAGGTTTGAGGATTGGACAATCATAGGGATATATCACTCCCCAAACGTGCCTGTAAGACAACTTTATGAAGCAATAACTGAGGTATTAAATAACATTTCACCAGACAACAATATCATTACTAGAGACTTTGATATAAATTGGCTTGTTGAAACAGACAGAAGACCTTTGTATAATTTACTAGTGAGGGATAACCACTACAAACAGTTCATATCAACTTATACAACTGACAACAACACAGTAATTGATCATATATATACAAATATATCTAACATTGATATACAAGCAGATGTTTTAGAAACACATTTCACAGATCATAAAGCTGTTTGGGCCTCATTTCACGGTGTCCTATAACAAATTACTTTATCATGATGTACATTGTTTTTAAGTTAAGAGAGCAACAAAAGAAAGCAGTAAATAGTTATGAAAAGAGTTGTTTGTCTTTTTTCAGAGGAATTTGTAATGAGAAACTTGCAAAACTATTAATAAGGAAATGCTGCTTATTCATTTGGTACCAGAACAGGCCTTTTAAAATTAAGTTTGAAGTCATCTTTCTAAGAGTTGTCCAGTTTGACAACCATTTACAAAAGACAAAAATAAACTACATAACACACAGTCCTGAAATTTCAAGGCAGCTCCTTTAGCATCTTGGCTAATTTCTAACTGCAACCTTTATTGACAACCCTGCATTAAACAATTATTCCACAGTTAAGTCTGCAACCCCTCCTGAAATACTCCAGGATACCAAAAAAAACAACAACAAGCAAACAAACATATTAGTGAAGTGAGCAAACAACCACATGCGTGACTTTCACGTAATATAAAATTCGTGATTGCAGCATTCCCACGTGCGTAAAGTGCTTGTAACTTATGGGAAACACACGCATGTTACACCAAAAAAACCCGCGTGTAGTACAAGAGGCCGATTACTCGCAACATAGTTAGTAGAGGAGACAAAACAGAGTGTCATTTTAGACAATTAACTTCAGTAAATTCTTTGCAAAAAGTGGATATTGCTGGCATAGTGCATAACACAATAACTGACAGTGCGATATTGTCAAGCTATCAATGTATGGTTTCAGATGCAGAGCTAATACCCAATGTTGAAGAAAGCAACAATGTCTTCCATGCTATTGTATGTTTATATATAAGGGTGCGGTCATTTTCTTGTGCTAAAGACATCATTCAGTGCTACAAAATTAATGCAAAGCAGTCAAAGGGTAAAGCGCTCCGAAAGGAGATCATGAGGAGTCATGAACAAGAAACAGTTAGGCAAGATTAAAATAAAACATTTTATTATCCTAAGTAAAACATGGCATTGTAAAAAATTTGTTAATTATTTTATTGATACTTACATGTATCAATTATCAAGAACATTTGAATTAAGAACTGTTCACATACAATGTAAAGCCGAATTTACCATGCCACGAAAAGTCCTGTGCATGACATGTTTAGAGTCCTGGGCCAGGTTGTTAAAAGCTGAGTTAAGATAACCCAGAATTAGTGCAATAGAGAAATTATCCTGGGAAATGCCTTCTGAAGGACAATTATTTTATGTACTATAATAAAGACAAGACACCTGGTTGTTCATGTTGGATTAAAAGTAAAAAAGAAATGTTTTTGTTAGTCATCATGAATTTGAGAGACCTTTTTCCTGGGAACCTTGTAGCAAAAAAGAGTGATACAAAAATACTGTAAACTTAAAAATTAATAATATTCGGGGCAGTCACTGAGGGCTGTGGGCTGGGGATTCCCCCTTCCTTCTCCCTGTGCCCAACTACTATAACTAGCATAGAACTGAAATATCTTACTAGTTGTTCAATTCCCTGCCTTATACATTATTTGTTAAAATTTTTCATTGCCCAGCAACCGGTGGTGACTTCTCTGAATATTGCATTCAACATTTAATTTGTTAATGTTGGATTACAAGTAAAAAAAAAATTGTTAGTCATCACGAATTTCAGTTGCCTTATTAAGTTAGATACAGTAATATTTCGAACTGTTCTACGATAGTCCAGGTACAAAGGATGATCTTCAGGTAAATAGGAACCAAATACTTTCACAGTAAAGCCAAGACTGTCATCCATAATAATTTCCAAACGTGGCAGAACGTACGGATGCACGGTTTTCTTCAGCACAATTTTGTCCTCAAAGATCTTCAGGCTCCAATCACCAAGGCTTTTTAGGCTTTTAACTCGTTGGCAGAGCTCTGAAAATCCCTTGTAGCAGCTGTGTGGTAAAGGCCCCTCGTTAAATTTTACAACCGAACGTTCAGGACGTGGTGAAGGCTTGCTGCTTTCATGACTTTTCTTAGGCATGTTCAGCTTCGGCAAAGCTCCAAATTTGGGCTTATTTTTGGTCATTTTCGCAGATTGATCTATCAAAGAAAAGATAAAATTGTCAAACTTGGAAATAGTCAAACCTAAAACCATATCCACTTTCAGAACGAACTTCAAACGGCAGCAACACTGATCGGTGAAAACTAACTCAAAGCAAATCCGACAATTAAACAAGAAAATACAGATATGTACTTACATATTTCGATATCTTCGGGCGCAAAATGTTTCTCACAGGTATATATTCTATCGCTCTTCAACTGTTCCCTGAAGTTCTGGTCAATTTCTCTTGTCTTTTTTATCTCAACAAGCCATTCGTCTCACCATGTTCCACGAGCTTCGTCTTTTGCCACAGGCAACTTCCAAATACCAATTCCCTTCGTTCTTCTGCACGAACCACAGCCAAATACTGAGCAATTAGCCCCTGGCATAACTTCTATATTTCTTGCAAAATGACAACCATATACTGATGAAAATTACGGAGAAACCTAACACATATCGCACAACTAACAAGAAACTACTCAACGGACGCCATGATCGTTTGATAAATGTGCACTGTCGCGATCACGTGACAAGGCAAAAATCAAAACAAAGACATCGGTCTTTGAAGCTCGCCGACTTTCATAACCAGTCTCCTCTACTAACTATGCTCAGGTGCGGGTAGGATGCAGTTGATCTCTATTTCGAAAGACTTGTTTGACGTTTGTGAGCGGACGATTCTAGCCAAGGTAAAGTCATTCGTTTACCATATGCATACTTTTCACTTGATTCATGTTATTAGTCGAGAAGGACTTGTCTTAACCCTAGTAGCTTAGCGCTTCGGTCAGCACTTCCTGTTTGTTTAAGAGATGCTCGTATTTTACGAATTGGAGCTCATAATTAATCTTGATATCACTATCGGTAGTTTTGTTATGTTAATTGATTCATTTATTTGTTATTATTTCGACGAATTTGGCTGGATTCGCTCGGCTACGAGGTATGAAATATGCGTTTTAAGAAACAAATGGTTGAAATTCGTGGACATGGGTTGATGTCAGATTTTAGAGTCTGTTTTGAAAGATCTTGACATTATTGACAGACGCTTGCACAAAGTGATAATGAACAGTAGTCTGTCAGTAGTCTACGTCCAAGCGTATGAAATTCGTCTGCGCAGTTAACGTGCAGTCGCGAGCGGTACTGTAGTGCTTCGGTCAGCACCTTCTGCATGTTTGTTGAAGACATCTCTGCATTTGCCAACCAATTGCTTATTTGTAATAGTGGCCTAATTCATTTGGGCCTCCAAATTGGAAAGGTGTTTTCAAATAGTACAAAGTCAATTTTCTAGTTTACTCCTGGCTTGTTGAGAATTTAATTTGATACATTCCTTCATTTTGAGCCTAAGGAACAACTGATACATGTCCCTCTACTCCAGAAATACTGAAAACTGCCGCTTATAAGCCGCCCCTCTTAAAAGCCCCAGTCCAAGTTGTCAAGTCTTTCACATGGAGCGTGAGACCTCATGCAAACAATTTTAATATTATGTTCTCAAGCTGAAACTATTGTTTCTTATAGCAAACTGCTGCTTTTGTAAACCCTTTAGCTCCCAAGATCTGAGTTTCAATTCTCCCTTCCAGCTGCTACACATTTCTTTGCTAATAAGTTACAAGAATTTTTTGTTAGATCGAGATAACAACTTTGACCTGATAAGTATGACTATTCTCATGACCTGTTTTATATTATAGGGAGGAGCTACTCGTTTATCACTTTTGGGAATTTTATTTATTATCCTTTTAAGTATAATTTACTCCTTGTTCCCTTCAAACTTGCTTAAAAGTCTTTCCAGCAGTGGAAATGTTTGCTTATACTAATGTTGCCATAGCAACTTCATACTTGTTTTCACAATTTTGGGGGGGGGGGGAGTATGCCCCCATTCTCCCTAAGGATGGTGATGCCTGTTGCATCCCATTTGAAGGCTAATATGCAGGTGATAATCTCAGTCTTGAAGGTAGCAAAGGGAGGTTGTGTAGTGTGAGTGTTGTGGAATTGTGTGGGTTCCCCCTACTCCATTAGACTTTTAACCTTTAGCACCCTAAGACATTGGTATTCATATTCTCCACACTGTTCTCTTTATATTTCCTATGGAACAGACAAGGAGAATTTGTCAAAGAAGTATATTTGATTGTGAAGTAAATGGAAGAGTCAGTTTAGAACATTACAGCTACAAATGCAACAATTATTTAATTAGTGTTTTAATTGATGAAAATCTTTCTTGGAAAAACCATGTTGACTGTGTTATCACCAAAATGAGTAGGAACATACAAATGATTGCTAAGTTGATATGCGTTATTACATTTTCTGTTGTCATAAATATCTGTAAATCCTTATTTTTACCTAATATATCTATATTAGACTCGCTGCTTGGGGCAATACATCTAAAACATATATTAAGTAAACAAATTTGTTGTTCTCCAAAAGTGCGTATTGTGTTTAATTTGCTCTGCTGATAGAAAAGAACATGCTATCCCTTTATTTATAAATGCAAAAATTCTACCTATTACCATCTAATATTATGAAGCTGTATATAAATTAATGCTGAATATTGATAACAACAGAGCTTATTAGTGCACTTTCTAACATCATAAAATTTTTTATGGGAACATTAAACAATTATACCCATTTACTACCACTGCTCATCAATGTCACAAGTGCTTCAAGTTTCAAAATCTGGAATGAGATGCTAAATATCAATAGAAAGTTTTGTCGAAGAAATCCTTCAAAAAAGAAACAAGAAAGCTTTCTCAATATTCTAGAGACTGAAGATTCTTATTTCAAGCCTGATGAGATAATGTGTTATATAAATTCAAACACTGCAAAATTGAAACAAATTGTACTTGCAGTTGAAACAATATTTTTATTGTGCACTTAGATACTCAAGGACTTTTTATCTTCTACAATGAATGTCTTTCATTTTCCATTTTCTTTTCTTGTGTATCTTTTAATGTTTTTTTTAAATGTATTATTGTCATATTAATTTTACTGTCAACAAAATCTGCTCAAAATTTTATTTTTTAGAGAAATTAGTTTTAACTACTTAAATGGTTTATTTACAAAAAAAATCTTAAAAAGAAGGTGAGATACAGCTGAAAGGATGTTTTAGTATAAGCCTGTATGAAGAGTGAAAGGTGTCATCATGGGAAATGCCTCAGACAGAGTGTTGATGTTTTCTGCAGGCTTTCATCCAGGATCCCAATTTGCATATGTTGTTTTCATCACATCTTGCACTGCACATTCACTGGGAATCTCTGGCCCATTTTGCAAAACATTGAGTTATGAGAGCCTTAAAGAGTTCACTAATAAGAGGGAGAGAGCTCAAGCCAAAGAAATTGAAGTTAAGTTGTTCATTTTCCAGAGCTTGCTTGGTGACTTTTGGATTATGTTTAACTCATGTTCCTGTTTCATGAAATGACCTTTCCAGCAAATTTCATTGGAGTTCTTTGTCAGTTAAGGCTTAATTGCCACAGGATTCCACATTGTGTCTCATTGTTCATTCATTTGACACTTGCTTTCTAAAAGGAGATGGGAAACTGTAAATTTCTTTGGTGGCCAAAAACTAGAAGTTTGTTATTATACAAGTTACCTGTACATTAATAGGATATGTAGATTTGTTGGACTTTTGTGAAAATTGGCTTGTATGTCCATTGGTAATTATCACACAAAAGTACATGAGGTTTCAAAGAAATTCTAAATATTTCTCTCATAATTCATTGGAGTTTGAAAACAACAGAAATATTTTCTATTGTCCAACTTCACAATGTATTTTCTCAGGAAACAATAAGAATCTCAAAATTGCCTGACACACTTTGTTAGCCTATTATCTGCTGAGTGATACTGTACAGTTTGTTTCAAGGTCTGGGGTAACACAGAGGCTGGTAATTCAGTGAAGCAAACACTATCAATGTTGCATTTAAATGCTTACATGCACATACCAAAACAAAAACTGTGAAAAATGTTATTTCCATAATCTGTACTTTATAAGCTTTACTGTGATGTATTTTTTTCTGTTGTAATCTGATCACATCTTTATTGTCAAATAAACAGATATCAAATATTTTGCATGTAAGTTTTCCCTGTACCTTTTCACTTCATCTTTGATTAAACTAGCCATGATCTACTGAAGATCTCTGTTAATAACAGTTTCCTTAATTAGTAGTAGCACAAGTAGGAAGATTTTTCCAGAAGGCAGCCTATTTTGTTGACAGCAATCTTAAGTAAAAATTTGACCAGCCAGGATTTGCATCTGCTATCTGCAAGTTGAAGGAATATTTTGTATATTGAATATGAGAAAATAGATAAAGTGTGAGGTGAGAATCAGGAACTTTTTAAATTTTTGATGATCTCCTTTATTCTTGTGACTCATACATTTGATTCAAGGATGATACTGTAAGGAGAAATTAGAAGCCAATCACAGCTCTTAGAGGTTAAAGGGTTAAAATGGAAGATGCAGCAAACTTATTTTATTGATCTGTTGCATGATATTTAACTCATTGTTTGAGTGCTGTAATATTCTGGTGTTGCAAAGTTAGAATAAAGTAATAATTTTTGTGTGTGCTCTATAAATGTCGCCTTCCATGTATTAATTACAAGCATTTCTTTACAGAGGACTTGATTTCATGGCTTCTGCCACCCCATCACAACCTTCTACCAAGGAGACCTCTAATTATGCCCAGCTCTGTCGCCTTCTTGTTGAAGTTGGATCACTTATGCTAAGGGAGATCTTTGACCGGGTATGTCCACCAGAAAACCTTCATGCAGTTCTGACTAATCCCACAAACCATGCCAAACTACAAACATTGCGAAAGAAGAGAGTCCTGAGTACCTTCCAGTGGGGGAAACTGTATCCTGTCTCCAAAACATCAGTTTCCTCAGGGAACTTTGACACCTCCTTACTGCTATTTCTTCTGAGGAATATCTTTGGTCTGAATTTCCCTGCCTCTGGCTGGAATAACCTTCCTCCAGGATCAGACACCTCTCCAGAAGCTGACATCACTCGCATCAAGTTTTTCAGGGACAGAGTTTTCAGTCATGCTGCTAATGCTTCAGTTGATGATCCAACCTTTAGTTTGTACTGGAACAACATCAAAGACACTTTTCTGCGTATTGGAGGGACCTGCTATGAGGAAGTCATAGATGATCCTACACTCCACTGTATGGATGCTGATCTTGAAGAACACTACCAAGAGCTTCTGAGAGAGTGGTTGAAAGATGATGACAGTATCACAGACAAAGTGCATGAAGACAAAATTGTGAAAAAGGCCAGGAAGGGAGGGGACATGGAGAATTCCTTTGACATTTCTGAACAAAATTCATGGGAGAGAGGTGTGTGTTATTCTTTTTTCAAACCTGAGTTTTAAATTAACTTAAATTTGTTGAGTCAATAATGAAGTCATACTGGATTGTTAGATGAAATGAATTTCCAGCAGATTTTTTTTAAAAGTCACAATTATGCATTATTGAAGTTGTGAATCTTTATTACCTTAAGCTAAGTCAACTGTTACATCCATAATTTGCTTTTGTCTTCATCTTTTTTATCTTTTGATTTTTATTTCAGTAATTGAAGTAACTTTCACATACAAAAACTACAACCTTCTTTTTCAGAGACAGTATTAATGCCAGGGGAAAATACATCAGCAGAGAATGGCAATGGCAGCCCACCAGAGCTCAGTGTGAAACTTCCAAAGTTGTGTGATCTTCCAGCAATCTCTTCTTCTTGGGAAACTGTTGAACTTCCTGTTGATATTGTTTTATTAGCAGTGGAGGACTGTGAGTTCTTAAGTTGTTTTGCCTACCTGAAGGAACCCTTTAAGAGTTACCACATCAGCACTGGCCCTGTGTACTTTGGGTGCATGGGTGATGATCAAGGAAAGAAAATGAAAATTGCATTGATGAGGTGCTCCAAAGGTCCTGATGTTCCTCAGGGTTCTTTGTCAGTTTCAAAAGATGCCATCTCAGTACTGAGACCCAAGGCTATCTTTTCTGTTGGTGCCTGCAGTGGTTTGAATAGCAAAAAGGTCAAGTTAGGAGATGTGGTTGTTTCAGCAAAGCTGATAACAGCTGTATACAAAACTCCCCCCAGCAGAGATATTGGTAACCTGATCAAACATGTGGCTGATGGGTGGAAGGCACCTTTACAAAATGCTGATGAATATAATGCCAAAGTGCACTGTGATGGAGTGGTTCTGAGTATCTCAGAGGCAAACAGAGATATGATTAGGAAACATCCTGAAGCAATTGCAGTTGAAATGGAAGGTGGAGGTGAGAATCATAATAATACAAATAATTGATGAGCCAAGCACTTTTGCACATGTAGCAAATGTTTTGAAAAACACTGCTCTGGTATTGTCTCTGCTGGTCCAAGCATACACCATATAACATGCCAAATTTGCAGGAATTGTGTATCTTGTATTTAAAGTGATTTGATGTTTGGCTGGGTGAGAAGATTATTTCACAGGTGAAGGTGACTGAGACTTCTTCTGGATAACTAGATTGAATTTGCTCCATTAGGATGTCATGAATTATTTTAAATTTGTCACATGAAAAATGTAGAAAGTATCTTGTTCAATAGTTTGAGAGTTGAGGAATACATGTAGTATCACAGTCCCTGTTAACCCTGAAACTCCCATGAGTGACCAAGATAGAATTTCTCCTTACAGTTTCAATATGATATTAAGCAGACAAGTAATGGGAAAAGAAAAAAGTGTGAATTAGGGGATTATTGGTTGATCCAAAACTAAATTCTCCTAACTAACATCATAGGAATTTTATGACATACATTAACCCTTTAACTCTTAGAAGTGATTAACATGTAACTTCTCCCTATAATATCCATACGTTATCCAGCAAACAGGTAGTGAGAATACTGAAACTCATCAGGTAAAAGATAAAATTACCTTGATAAAACATCCAATTTTTTTGTAACCAATTTACAAGGAAATGTGTAGCAGCTAGAAGGGAGAATTAACAATCAGATCTTGGGAGTTAAAGTGTTAAAGAGGATCATTAAAGAGATCTTAGGAGTGAAAGGGTTAACTCTAACTGACAAAACTTTGTCTTTTGAAAAATATTGAAAGTTACTTTATATGAAACAAGATGAAGCCTGAAGAATAGTTTTACAGTCTCAGTGTACAATTTTTTTTGATTACTGGTTGAAAAAAATTAGGTTTCTGTTCCAACTAATGTCTTTCTGCAATGTGCATGTTTACAACAGCAAGAGTGCAGCTAGAGTGTGACTCTTTGTGAGCTTTGATTGAACAATTACATGTATTTTAAAGATGCGAAGAAAATAAGCTTAAGATATAGTTAACAGACATTACTGTTTATTTGTTTTGTTTTTTAGGAGTGTATGCAGCAGCCCATGATTTTAAGACAGAATGGGTGGTAGTCAAGGGCATCAAAGACTTTGTAGATGAAACGCACTCTTCAAGTAAGAAATGGAATGAAATTGCCTGTGTGATGGCAGCTTCTGTTGTGGCCAACATTTTGAATGATCCAGTCATATTCCAAGATTGGCCTCATTTTAATGCAGGTATTGCTTCCTGTCTCAATCTTCTCTTTTTACAAGGATAGGTCTGACTTAGATCTAAGTTCCCTCAGCATATTTTTGTATGAATTATAAATCAACATGATTTAATCAGTAATAGTTGACAAAGAGGAAATTAAGTTACCCTTATTTTGAGTTTACATACCAGTAAGTGGCTAAAGGTGATGGGAGAAAAAACTTGTGGTTAAATTGAGTGATGTAATGATGAATGACAATTCACTCCATGAGCCAGGTGAACTGGCCTGTTTTCTATAGTTAGCTTGGTTTATGTAACACCACCAAAATATGGAAAATTCAGAGGCTAATGACATCTGCCAAAGTGATTTGAAGTGATTTGATATATGTTCTTGGGCCAATAAGAAACAAATCAAATTGTTTTAAACTAAAAAAATTGATTAATCCAGTACTACATGTGTGACTGTATTTTGATGGTGAAACTATTGGAATGGAAAGGGAGGTGATAAATACCAGCACATATGTTTATGGTTCTGTTTTTTGTTGTTGTTGTTGTTTTTTTTTTTAACCCTTTATGGAACCTGACATGTTAGTAGATTGAGACAAATAAATCAGATTGTAGGTAAATTTCTTAAGAGCTAATGTCAGCATGCATCAAACAAACAGCGGCAAGTCACCCAAATTTGTTTCCCCTCCTTTCGTCCTTTGAATTTCTCTGTCACGCTTGTCACGCACTGATATAATAAGTTAGAGAAGATAAATAAACTGAAACTCAAATCTGGCTGCAACGTGGTAGAGCATGATTAACGTGATCATCGAAACAGCTAATAAAATCATAAATAAACAAGGTAAGAGTGTTATGTTAGACTTTGTACAAATTGTAGTGATTTACGCCAATTAACGGTGGCGACAAGTAGGCGCACCATGTACATTTCATAGTCGCTATCAAGTAAATTTTGCCGGACTTTGAGTTCGTCTCAAGATAGAACAACACAAATACACAAGGAAATTTTTACAGTAACTTTATAACCATCCTTTGGTCTTTTAAAAGCTTGAAGCTCAGTAGATTCCTTCCTCCACTCAAATTTTTTGTAGAGTATTCTATTTTACATGGAAAAAATTTCTGAATTAGGGCTGTGTTAGTAAAAAGGGGCAGGAGAAGGCGTATGTGGTTATTTTAATTTTCCCGAGCGAAAAACTGTGAACGAAACTTCACAATGCATTGCAGCCGGACCTCTGGTTTGTTCCAGCGTTTTCCTTTTTCTATGATTAAACGACGTGAAAACGAGGGCGGAAAAGCGTTCTTTGTTTTTTTTTTAATTAGTTCTTACAATGGTCTTTTTTACCGACAAAAATCTTACTCAGACTATCGACTCTAATGATATCAATATTTATCTCCCGAGTTTCACTATCAGAAACCGCTGTAGCCGAGCCATAAGTTTTTTTCGAATATTGTATAAAATTTAAAAACAACAACAACAACAGAGGAAGGGAAAAGGATCTATTTAGTTAACTTTTAATGAATAAAGTGACTCTCACTCGGACTAAAAGTTCCAATGTTATTCCACGAAAGGGTCTGTTGAGAAAATGATAGGCGAAATGGTAAAGATGGACAGCGAACTGAAAGAAGTGAAGGAAAAGCTGTGTACTTTGACAGCCTCAGTGGGAGAAAGCAAGGATGAAGGTCAGTTGAATTACACAATAAAAGTTATCCTGCTTAACCGCAAATTTCGCCGTAGTCAACATGGCCTGTATGTGAGAGAGGGAGAGATCATCCTATGTTAAAGAGATTCAGTTTTTCAATTTAGACAATCTCTGGAATAATCTCTACGGTGTGCTTTCATTCCCTCCAATTGTTCAAACTTTCACCCGTAATTAGCCTGGAAAACTTTATATTTTGATTAGAGTGGAGAACGAAATAAAACGAAGTACAGTTTTAACGAAAACATTGGCATTAACATTGGCTCGATGTTAGAAATTAACAGAGCAGGTTCCACTGCATTTACAAGCCAAATAGCTTTTGGTCAGTAAATTGACATGAATCATACATTGATACCTTTTTCATCGTCCAAGTAATTTCTTTGGCAGTGGTGTCGTACTCGTTCGCTAATTTAAATTCAGTGCCGAATTCCTAGTAGCATTAGATGTAATCCGCATATTTCTGAATAAAATAACTAAACCCTTCCTGCGCTCATATTGTGGAGTATTCAATTCTACATGGGAAAATAGTTGAATGAGGATCGTCTTGAGTAAAATAGGTTCCTAAGGAAAAGACTGTAGGAAAAACCTCCCACTTCATCGCAGGCGAGCCCCCAGTTTTCTGCAGCACTTTTGATGAAACCGCGTGACAAAGAAGGCACAAAGGCGTTGTTTGGTTTCCATTTATTTGTTCGTAGTCTCGGTATATCCCGAAAAAGCCTTTCTCAGACTACGGCTCCAATGATATGAATATTTATCTCCCGAGTAATTTATTTTACGACAGAGTTTCACTGTCAGACACGCCGAACAAACAGAGTAGGTTTACCTGAATTCATAATCTAAATGGCTTTTAATCAGTAAGCATGAATCATACACTAAAAGCTTTTTGCATCGTCCAAGTAATTTCTTTGGCAACGGTATCGTACTCATTCACTTATTTAAATCCAGTGCCGAATACCAGAGAGGCACCACAATTTTTAATGCTGCATTCATTAGATTTCTTACTTATTTTGCTACTGCTAGGTATTTTTGATCCGACTGAGCTTATCAATGGAATTCGCCAGCTGTACAAGACTCGCGAGGGATGGCTCTCACCATTTCCATGGTGTGAAGAGTTTCAGTTTTTTCTTGGAAATATTTTTACAAGGCTCAAAGTGGTCAGAAGAAAGAAAACGAGAGGAGTAATCACTGACGCATTTGTTGACATGTCGTCAATACTAGACCCGTATGAAGAGTGTTCAGCGCCGAGAACAGTGTTGATTGAAGGAGAACCTGGTATGGGAAAAACCACCTATTGTAAAAAGTACGCCTACGACTGGGCCACAAAACAGCAAGAACCTCAGGGCTGCGGCTCAACAGCATTTAAAGTGGTATTGTTACTGAAATGTCGAGATATCCATTCTGACGTTTGGGAAGCTATTGATGATCAGCTTCTGCCCCGAGACATCGATGAAGAAGTCAAACAACAATTCTTTCATTTTATTCGTGAAAATCAGTCCAGCATTTTATTGATATTGGATGGATTGGATGAGTTACCGTCCAGTAAATTGTCGATGTTTTCCGAATTAATTGAAGGAAGAGTGCTCCCCAAATGCCACATAGTTGCAACAGCAAGACACGAAGCTGGAAAAGAGGTGAGAAAATGTTGTGACGTGCTGCTTCAGATCGAAGGATTTACTGAAGAGCATGTGAAAGGATTTGTCACCAAGTACTTTAAAGAAAGGACGGATTTAGCCACCAAGCTCTCGCAACGGATGTCGCGAGATAAAAACCTGAGAGAAATAGCGGCCAATCCTCTAAACACAGCACTTCTTTGCCTTTTATGCGAAGAGTTTGAGGGCACACTCCCCGAAAGCAGAGCTCAACTGTACTTGGATATGGTTGAATGTGTTTTGAGAAGATATAGAAAAAGGAAGGGACTACTAGAAAAGATCGAAGACTTGACAAACCATTACAAACCGCAATTGAATCACCTTGGAAAGGTAGCGTTGAATGGTTTACTTGACGATAAGTTGGATTTTAATGAAAGTGAATTGAGAAACCATGCAAAAGACCTGACTGAATTTGGATTTCTGTCAGTGCAGCCTGGTGGCAGCAAACTGAGACAAACACTGCACTATGCCTTCTTACATAAAAGTTTTCAAGAATTCTTTGCAGCATTCTTCATTTGTTCTCAGATTCAAAGCAAGGAGATGAAACCTGAAGAACTAGTTTCCGATCCAAGGTATTTCGTTGAACTTAAACAAATACTTTTGTTTTCATGTGGAATTTTGGCCATGAAATGCGATGAACAGGTTGTGGCTCTTGTAAAGAGTTTAACAAATGAAGTCAACAAAAATGAAGGCCGTGGTGCAAAAATTGTATTGGAGGCCATCAACGAATGCAAAAGAGAAAAAAGTGATTTTCACTCGCATTTATCGAAGTCGTTTGGAACTGGTTTGAATCTGACCAATTTGGATTTGTCTGACAATGGTATTAGTGATGCGGGTGCTACATGTATTGCTGAGGCAATCAAAGTGAACAAGACGCTAACCAATTTGGATTTGTCTTTTAATGGTATTAGTGCTGCGGGTGCTACATGTATTGCTGAGGCAATCAAAGTGAACAAGACGCTAACCAATTTGGATTTGTCTTACAATGGTATTAGTGCTGCGGGTGCTACATGTATTGCTGAGGCAATCAAAGTGAACAAGACGCTAACCAATTTGGATTTGTCTTTTAATGGTATTAGTGATGCGGGTGCTACATGTATTGCTGAGGCAATCAAAGTGAACAAGACGCTAACCAATTTGGATTTGTCTTGGAATGGTATTAGTGCTGCGGGTGCTACATGTATTTCTGAGGCAACGAAAGTGAACAAGACGCTAACCAATTTGGATTTGGGTTACAATGGTATTAGTGATGCGGGTGCTACATGTATTGCTGAGGCAATCAAAGTGAACAAGACGCTAACCAATTTGGTATTTGTCTAAGATTGCTGAGGCAATATGGAAAAATTAGAGGGCCGAAGGCCCGCCGCGGGTGCTACATTTAAAGACTGAGGCAATCCTGCAAAGTGAAAAGAAGACTATCGTAATAAAAAAGAATGACCAATTCTTTCACTTCGACTCTGTGTACAAGGCCAGCGAAACGGACAACGTTGGCATTATTCACTTTTTAGTTATTTAAAGACCGTGCGCTTGAGGATTGTAAATGAAGGTAGAATATTTTCCAATGAAAAATTAGTATATTTCAAAGAGAAATATGGAGTTGTTGAGGACCGTGTCCAGCCGTATCAAGCGCTTGGATGGCTTCGTACTCTGTGCAAAATGCAGACTACGGACCGCAGACCGGGTACAAAATGCAGACTGAGAATTTGTATTGTTTTTTCGTCTGATACGTGATAACATGGCATCTTACAACTTACCGAGCGTCACGCAAGTGCTTTTCCGCGATCATCTTTCGCGATTATTTGCACTATTGTGGAATATTCCTTGCCTGTCTCTTGATCACAATCGTTCTTAATTTTTTTCAAGCCTCGTTTAGTATTCTCATTTTCCGCGCGAGTTGGTTGGCGTGATGTCTTTACAGAATTTACCAACTTACTAAAAGTAGATGTGGATGTAAATGGATGCCACTATTGAATATTTAACCTGCGCAATATTCGAGAAATTCATCTTTTTAACCGATATGTGTTCATTTTGCTGACAAAAATGCGAACCAAGACCAGAACTTTTCTTTCGACTTGATATATTTTCAACGTTCAGAAGTGTACACATACTGATTTCCCCTTAGTGTCTTATATTGTCATTGGTTTTCATGAGAAACCGGAGAATCATAGGGAAAAGCGAAGCGTTGCCCTCGTGACTGGCCATTTGTTAACTTTTTTGGTGGTTTTATCTCTCGTTGGTTTGGTGACTACGCAAATATTAATATGTGAAAATCAGATTAGATGAAGACTTGAAATTCTATTAGGAACGATTGTGGCCGCTTTGTTAAAAATCAAATGCAATGGCCGCTTTGTTTAAAACAAAAGACATCAAGAAACGGGCAAGGAATATTTAATAGATAATTATTGCGGCAGTCAGCGTTATGAGATATATTGCAGCCAACTGAGGGCGTAGTCTGCCTAATGACCTCTGCCCATCCCACCTCCAGCCCACACAAACTTTTTTCCGATCCCCATCACTACGAATGCACAAGTTTTCTTATCACACAACTGCTCAAAAATAAAAGAAAATTTATTCCAAAAGTCTTGAAAGTTCACATAAACCGAATTCATCTGCACCTATATTCAGCAAGTCCAAGAAATCAATTCAAACCTAAGCCATAACATGAATGAGCTGGCTCCAAGAGCCCTTTGATTTTCATTACTTCAAAGTTTCGAGCGTCTCTCTTTCATTAAAAACCAAGACAAAAAACATTCATAGGCATTGTTTTTTACTGGGATACCTGTGGTAGCCCAGTCATAAAATGCCTTTTTTTTTGTCGTCTTTTTTTTTTTTTCCTCCGCCACAAAATGGAAAAATTGCGCTATGAGAGATCATTCTGTGATCCAATGAGGTGTTCACATGCTGATCACGCGTGCTGTCTTGATGATGATTGACGTTGTCATGCACGGACAGGGCCGGGTCACATGACGAACACGAGATTTTTGGCCATAAATCTCTTTTGTCAGTCGTTCTGTATTTCAATGTGTTTGGATTACGATCATCTGGAGCATTATGGCGCAAACGCTCAAAATACTGATAGACGCATACACAAGTCGTATTTTTCGCGGCCAATCCACACAAAAAGATGTTATTGATATTATTGAGCGGTAATTTTGGAACGGACTGAATCGTGAACGCTTGAAAGCCATGAAAGCATTGAATGCCTTGTATGTCTTGTATGCTAAGTATGCCAATGTCTTAGTTGAAAGCGTTAACTTGTTGTAAAAAGCAAAATCTGAAATCTGAAACCAAACTGCATATACTCTATGCAATCTATTGAACAACACAACTACCGTGAGACTGAAGAACAAAATTCAAATGGATGCAAACTGCTTGTGAAGAAAGACGCCATGTTGGATTCACTTGATGCCAGGGAACGTAGCTACGATAACAGTGCGAATGGTATTAATTTCACGATCAGAAAAGTGAATCTTATGTTTTTTTTCATTGTAGTTGTATGGATATTTTTTTTAATAAATACATGATCCAAAATCCCGTGTTTTTTGTGTATAATGTTATTATGTGAATTATTGTTTACGCAATTGTCTTGTCACAGGCAACCCAAGGTCACGTCTCGAGAAAGAGCCAACGATTAATTCACGAACGCGTCACGCGTTGTGTGACTCAGAGTAAGTTATGCTAGGAACCGTTGAAAATTTGAACACGTTATAAGGAATAGTATAGGGAACGAAATATGGTCGATTTACAACGATAAATATTTCGAAATATGAAGATTTTTCTCGTAAAATCAATAAAACTTACTCATACCCTGTGTATCCGTTGTAGTTTCTGGCGATTTTTGCCGTTTTAAGCTTGCTTTACCCTCACTATTATTCACGTCATCTACTTTTATTACATTGGTAAAATCTGTACAGACATCACACCAACCAACTATGTTGAAGGATTGAAATTATATTACGATCGATTTTCATCAAAAAATGGGTCATGAATTTTCCACAATAGTGCAAATAGTCGTGAAGGCTGATCGCGGAAAAGCGATTGCATGACGCTCGGTAAGCTGTAAGATGACATGTTATTATATACCAGACGTAAAAACTCTTCAGATTCTCAGTCTGCATTTTGTACCCTCTCTGCAGTCTATATTTTGTATCCGGTCTGCATTCTGCTGTCTACATTTTGTACTAACAGGTATCCGTGGCACCAATACAGTTTATTTTTGGTTACATTTATTCGCACAACACACATAATCTACCACAAAATACCTGTGTGTGAGGTAATTCGACATTTTCATTCTTTCCCGCGTTAATAATCTTCTTTCCTTTGTATTTGTCACCTACAATGTTTCAAAGTTTCCACCCACTCCTACATTAAAAACCATTGACATAAAATGCCTATTCATAGGCATTGTTTTTTTATTTCTGTTGCTAGTCTGAGAGCCATTCAATGAAATTTGATCACTCCAGAAAGCTTACCCTGAACGGGAGGTTTGTGGGTTGGGGGCAGAGCCATTCAATGAAATTTGATCAGAAAGCTGGGGAACAATAGGGGCGAGGTAAACAAAGTTGTTGTGGATAACTCTAAAATGGTAATGTGCCGGCGGATGCCTACTTCCGCAAAGGCCTAGTACTTAATGACGAGTCAGAAGAGCCCCAGATATGAAGGGATGATTGTCGATTTCCTACCTGTTTCAAGACCTTGGGAAATTAGCTGGCTGCAGGAAGATCAGGATTGGCACCAATTATAAATTCTTTCATCGAAAGATTGGTGGATAGAACTTGGTCCAACAGACTGTAAACAACTCTTATAAAAATTTCTTACAAAGGAGCTCTCTTAAATATAGAGCTAATCATGTTTATCATGTTTATTCGATTAAACGCCGCGGCGTTTATTAAAATTTTCGTGATTCAAGTGCGATGTTTATTCGAGGGCGGCGTTTATTTAAAATTCAATTTACTTTTTGCAAACAATAGTATGGTAACTGACCATTTTAATTGTAAAAAACAAAAACACGTTCTAGTGCTTGTCCTCAATTTCACAATCTGCGTGTTAATACTACTGCAATACTTAATGTGAAATAAAGTGAACATAGTTCACCCAATTTCAATGTCTCTGTCCTCTTCATGATCCGAATCCAAAAGATATAATGACGGATGTGCTCTCTCAAAATCAGAACCGGTACATTCAAAGGGATTTGTGCCTTGCTTACTCAGAACTTGCAACTGCGATAGAAGCAATAATCGTGCACTGCCACAAGGCTGTCGTTCCTTGGGGCAGTGAATCATGTCGTCCACGGGAAGGTTCAACATGCAGCTCGAGAGAGTTTTTTTTATTACCTCTGTGGGTAGCTCTGCTCAAGAATCAAGAATTCACTCCAAAATGGTACTTTTCGGGGATAATTTCAAATTTCAGCAGCTGTTTCTTCGTGAATTCCCACGGTACCCAGCCAATCATTCCTTTTAAGTGCAAGTGGCCTTGAACGGCTTGTTCCAAGAAACGTCCGGTGCCTGGATATACTTGGTGGACCCTTCTGGCACTATTACTTGATCGATTTTTTTTCCGACTGCAATACGTAAGCAATACTATCTTCAGTTTTGCAGTCGAAGAAGTTCCAGGCTAATAGTAATCAACCACCAACCTGTATTTCATTGCCCTAGGGCCTGTTTACATGAATGTGGGGGACCCCAGGTAGGTGAGGTGACCCGCCTAACCGTGGGCTAAAAATAGCCAGCGTTTACATACAATCTTACAACCCCGGGATGCCAGGATGAAGTTTCTCGAGGTTGTTATCACACTTGCAATTAAGGAGTTTAAGATGTCACTAGGACGTGTCGTAAAAACGTTGCAGAAAAAACGTAATTAATTTTCCTCTAAGATTTTGGCCAATAGCTCGATGCGTTAACCGTTTCTGACAGTACAACGTCTTCACTTTGGCATAACGTGTGAATGTAGTGTTGAGTTAAAAGTAAAAACGTGACTAAATCGCTGTCGAGGTTTTATTGCTAAGTGGATGTAAAAATTGATGTTTTAACGTTTTAGCTCTGCATGGGAAGACCAAGAAATGTACAAAGTCTTAACACACTCGTGTTTCGCTGTTGTTTTCCTTATTTGATCCTTTTGTAACATGAACGGCGCCCCGCGTGGGCGGGTTAACCGACCTTGAGACGTTTACATGGCAATGTTGCCCCCTTGCTGACAGGGTTACCCTACCCAGTAGACTGGGCAACCCGCCTAGACGGGTCGCCCCACCTATCATGTAAACGTGATCAAGATGAAATAATAGATTATATGGACAGGCGGGTTACCCAGCTAGGCGGGTTACT